GTATCATTTCAATAAAGTACCACAAGACCCAAAAAAAAAAAAAAACTAAAAATAATCTAATTCATATTTTAGAAATAAGGTATTTTAGTTTTTTCAATACAAATTTATTAAAATAATGTAATTTTAGAGTGATTTTTCATCTAATTTTCAAAAGATAAGGTGATAGGCACAATTCCTAATCGTAATTGCATTGTTAGAAGAAGGCAAACATTATAGAAGAATGAGTACCAACAAATTTAGGGACAAAGAAAAACAAATCCTTGGGATATGTTAATGTCTATGTCTGTGTCAGATTTATTATGTCCTAAGGACAAAGTATAAGCTCCTCCATTGAAGGGAAGGAGAGGAGTATTTAATGCCAACCCATTAATGCCTCCTTTTCCCATTCCATTTCTCACAAAATTCTCACCCCAGAAAAACCATCTGATGAGAATCTTAGTTGATGCAGAAGAGCTTCAACAGATTCACAGATTTTGAACCCAACGGCTATATATAATGTATTAAAACTATGCATAATATCTCGTGAAACCAAGAGCTCTTCAAGAAACCCAAAATCCCCTTCTACCTCTTCACTCTCTGCCATAACCGAAGGATCCTCGTGATGAAGAGCTCTTGTACTTCACGAGTTTCATATTCCCTCTCAGACCACAAATCCGTCTCCAGCCATTTTTCGATTCTCTTCTCCTCCTTCAAATACCCGATTCCTCAGCAGAATCATGCATCAGTGTCCAAGCATCGTCTTCTTCTATACCGGTCTTCCATGGCTGCCAAAGCACAGCTTCTCTGCTTAACCCTTTTTCTCCTTTTGGCTTCCCTTCATGGAGACACTCTCCAAACCTATATAGTTCAGTTGCATCCACAGGGGAAAACAAATTCATTGTATCCCACCAGGCTTCACTGGCATCTCTCCTTTCTCCAGCAAACTGTTTCTGCCGAAGAAGATGCTTTTTCTCGTCTTCTTTACTCTTACCATTCTGCCATAGAAGGATTTGCAGCTCAGCTCAGTGAAACAGAGTTGCAATCCTTGCGAAGTTTGCCGGATGTCATTGCAATTAGGCCTGACCGACAGCTTCAGGTTCATACTACTTACTCCTATAAGTTCTTGGGACTTGGGTCTGCTGGAGATGGTGCTTGGAAGCAGGCTGGTTTTGGGCGGGGAACAATTATTGGGGTTCTTGACACTGGAATTTGGCCAGAGAGTCCGAGCTTTGATGACCAGGGAATGCCTCCGGTTCCCAAGAAGTGGAAAGGGATTTGCCAAGAAGGACAGAATTTCAGCTCTTTGAACTGTAACCGGAAACTGATTGGTGCCAGGTTCTTTATAAAAGGCCATCGTGTGGCTTCAGTCTCTCCATCAGCAAACATGATTCAGGAATATGTATCATCTAGAGACTCCTCTGGACATGGAACCCACACATCGTCAACAGCTGGAGGAGTTTCTGTTCCTATGGCAAGTGTGCTTGGCAATGGGGCTGGCGAGGCTCGAGGAATGGCTCCGGCTGCACATATTGCAGTGTACAAAGTTTGTTGGTTCAATGGCTGTTACAGCTCTGATATCCTTGCTGCAATGGACGTTGCAATCAGAGATGGAGTTGACGTCCTTTCACTCTCCCTAGGTGGCTTTCCTTTACCACTCTCTGATGATAGCATTGCCATAGGCAGTTTCAGAGCAATACAGCATGGAATATCGGTCATTTGTGCTGCAGGTAACAATGGCCCAATTCAAAGCTCTGTAGCCAATATTGCTCCCTGGATTGCCACCGTTGGAGCAAGCACACTTGACCGGAGATTTCCAGCTGTTGTTAGAATTGGTACTGGAGAACTCCTTTATGGAGAATCAATGTTCCCAGGAAACCTGATTCCAGGTTCTGGAGAGGAACTCAAACTTGTTTATGTTACTGCTGGGAACAGGGGAAGTGAACTTTGCTTGAAAGGGTCCCTCCAAAGATCAGAAGTTCGAGGAAAGATGGTGGTTTGTGATCGAGGTGTAAATGGGAGGGCAGAGAAGGGTGAAGTAGTGAAGGAAGCTGGTGGTGCTGGAATGATACTGGCAAACACAGAGATAAACTTAGAAGAAGACTCTGTGGATGCTCATGTCTTGCCAGCAACTTTGATTGGCTATGCAGAGGCAGTGCGTCTGAAGGCATATATAAAGTCCACCAGGAGTCCCAGAGCTCGAATCATCTTCGGAGGAACAGAGATAGGAAGATCAAGAGCACCAGCAGTAGCACAATTTTCAGCCAGGGGTCCGAACTTATATGACCCTTCAATCCTCAAACCAGATGTGATTGCTCCTGGAGTTAATATCATCGCTGCCTGGCCTCAAAATCTGGGGCCGACCAGCCTTCCAGAAGATTCTAGAAGGGTAAACTTCAATGTCATGTCAGGGACTTCCATGGCTTGTCCCCATGTCAGCGGAATTGCAGCTCTGATACATTCTGCACACCCCGAATGGTCCCCAGCAGCTATAAAATCTGCATTAATGACAACTGCGAATGCAAATGATCATATGGGGAAACCAATAATGGATGGAAATAAGTTGGCAAGTAGTTTTGCCATTGGAGCTGGACATGTGAACGCACAAAGGGCAATCAATCCAGGACTGGTATATGACATAAGGCCAGATGAGTATATCACTCATCTCTGCACTCTTGGCTACACAAGATCAGAAATTTTCACAATCACACACAGTAATGTGAGCTGCCATGAGATTCTGCTCGTGAACAAGGGTTTCAGCCTCAATTACCCCTCTATTTCTGTACTCCTCAAGCAAGGAACAAGAAGGAAGATGATCACAAGGCGACTGACAAACGTAGGGAGTCCTAATTCCGTCTACTCAGTAGAAGTGAAGGCCCCTGAGGGTTTAAAAGTGATGGTCAAACCTCAGAGGCTAGTATTCAAGCAGATAAACCAAAGTTTGAGTTACCAAATATGGTTTATATCGAGGATGAGATCAGGAACAAAGAAGACAAATTTTGCAGAAGGGCATTTGACATGGGTGCACTCTCAAAATAACTTCTACAGGGTTAGAAGTCCTGTTTCAGTCACTTGGAAGTAGTTAGCTGCTTAGCTGATAGTTGAAGTATATTTTAATTTAATTATCTATTTTCTCAGCTAGAGAGGATTGAGGCCTATGAACATTTAGGGGGTAAAGTTAGTATGCTTAATTTCAGTATGGAGAAACTCTAAAAATATTGGAAACGAAAGCCTCTTATTAATCAAAATAAAGAGAAGTTGGAGCATTAACAGTACAACCCATTCTACAACATGCAATAGGATTTTTAATAATGAGAAGTGACATAAATAAAATTGCATGCATGAAGTTTGCAAAATCAAAACGGAAAAAATCCTTGATATTTGAATTTTCCATTCAGCAGAAAGAAAATGAATCCCATTTCATGGCAAGCAGAAGAAGTTTTGGATACAGATGTTTAATTCCAGGAATCAAGGTCTAGATGATAAAAATGTTCACAGGAAATGCCCCTACCAAGCAGCTTGATCTGCAAGTTTTCTATGTAAACACATATATCACAGAATCTTAGCATCTTTCTTTGATCTCATTATCTCAATTTTCATTATAAGGTAGTTTACCCAAAGAAAAGCTGCTAGTTCTAAGCCCCCTACATCCATAACTATATGTGGGAAGGAGAATCGAACATTGTAAGATACCAAGAAAGAATGTAGAGGAGAAAGAAGCAATATGGCATTTTAGATCAAACCATTTGATTAAACTCAGGACTTCAGCCTTCTAACTTCACTTGAAAAAATTATACAAAAACAGATTAGTTAATGGATGAAAGCAAAAGATAAAGACACAAGAAAAGAAGGCACTTTGGCTCATTTTTTGATGAATTTCAAGCCATTCTCATTAGAGTATCGCTCCATGAATCTCATGAATCTATCCCACTCTCGGGGAGATCGCATTACATACCTTGCTTCAATTTGAGAAGGCTTTCCATTGATGAATTTAGCACTCACATCAACTGACTGAAGAATCCCTTCCTCATCAATCATGTAAAATCCAGTGATTTCACCAACTTCACCAGATGAGTCGAAAACAGATGGTTGATCAAAAGTGAATATGGCGACACCATTGGTACCATCTTTTGACTTGGTTAGCCTCACATCTGGTATTGTCTGTTCATCAGTTCCTTGGATGAACTGAATTGTTGGTTTGACCATCATTATTATTGGTCTGGATGCCTGAGAGCTCCGCCTTACTGGAGCAAACCGCAGATGAGCCACATGAAAAGATTGTCCATTGAATAGTGAATTTGCACTTCCATAAACAGCCCAAGATGCCAATCCTGCAAAGTGAGAAAGACATTTTAACCCAGCTTGAAAACCTAGCTAAATTGCAATAAATTCAAAAAATAGTTTAGACCACTTCTTCTTAGCAGTTACCTGTTAGTACTGTAAAGTATATAGAAGAAAAATCTCCAATACAAAAAGAAATGCAGAAAGCAGAAAACTCTCCATTAAAGCAGAAAAATACAGTAAGAAAAATCTCCATTAAACATATAAGAAATGCAGAAAGCATTGGTTATACATTAATTATTGTCCAGGTAACCCACAAGCTAAAACATTAACAACAAAGATTTGTTCAAACTACTCATCTCATCATACTAACAAGTTAATTTCTAACCCTTTTACTGTTTATCAACAACGTTCATCAACAAACATATTAAAAACAAAATCTGCAGATTATTATTGAACTGAAGAATGTATCAGATTTAGAGTTCGGTCATAGAAACTTCAGTTCATCCAAATGACAATATCTTCAACCAGTAATCCACCCTTCACATCAATCCTAAAATATCACAAAATACAATCAAATCACACAAAGAACAATTTTTTATAAGCATTCAAGAACTTTTAAATTAGGAAAGGCGCACATGGGAAAAAAAATGGAGACGGGTACCTGAGATAGAGCGTGGTGGGGGCTGAAAGGAGCGAGAGGTAGGAGTAGGGGATGAAAGAACTGCTAAAGAGTGAAGAGTTGCCATTGTAGAGGAAGAGGGAAAAGGAAACGACTTTAGAGGATGAGGTGTTTAAAAAGAGCGTTGGTGTGGTGATTCTGACGATGGAGAGGATGGTGTGTAAGAGTAAGAACCACTCACCGGATTGGTGGCAGAGAGATAGGCATTGCCTTTTCTCTGGTCCCAGGTGGGTGGGTTGGTCTTGGGCCATATAAGATGTGCACCATTCACAGCAACAGATGAAATGAAAATCAGACCACGGACCCTACAATTGGGTGTCTAGGATACACTATCATTTTCTTTGGGTCTTGGCCCATAAGAAGAATGGGCTAGTCTTTCGGCTTAGGCATTATGGTGAGCATTGGTTATTGGTATATTCATTAGTAGCAAGTACCTTATTCCTTTAGACAAATATTATACTTGATAATTATAGTAAAAACAGGTAAATAATAGAAATATAAATAATATATTTATAAATATTAAGTTAAGTAATAATAAATATAAAAGTTTAGAACTTTTATTTGATTTGTTTAAATGATTTATTTAATTAAATTGTAACCCATATTTGTATAATTAAAAGTTTATATGTACTTAATATATTTAATATTTATATAATAATAATAATTTTTAAACATAAAAATAATAAAATAAAAAATAGAAATAAAAGTTAAGTAAGATTTATAAGCCAAACAAATCACATACATTAATAATAACTCATATAAATAATAAACCATAAGTCAAGCAGACAACAAATCTAATAATAACATGTTATATTAGATCTTTTGTTTTTCCTAAGCTAAGTACTAAGTATATACCTATAATTTATCCAATATATGTTGGATAAAGTAACAAGTATAGATCTTTGAGTATCAAGATAGATATCAAATCTAACAAGTAGTACTTGAAAATTTGTAAATCAAGTACTAAATATAATCTCTACATATCCTATACCCAAAAATACTCATCCCTATTAGGCAGTCTGCCTCCATTTTAATGATATTTATTCAAATTTTTAATTATTAAAAAGATAACATCTGGCTTGTTGTGATTCATAGTATACATTTTAGTTAGTTAAATGAGGAGAAATTTGTTCATATATAAATTTTACATATTATACTTATATAAAATTTCAATCATTCATCACATTATTTTTAATAATTGAGATTTATTATAATTTTTTAAATTAACAAAACAATTATTTTTAATAAATGTTAATCAATTTTAACTATTAAAAGTGAAGAGATGAATAGTTAAAATTTTGTGTAAATATGATATGTAACTTTAATATAAAGTAAATTCTTTCTTTATTTAAATATATAATATATAACAATATTATTTATAAATAATTTAATTTAATTTTTTTTTTTAGAAATTGGCAACCAATTTCTTTGAAACTAAAAATCATATGTACATTTACACCCGAGCATACCAGGAAAAAAACTCTAACATCAAAACTTTAATCATAAAGTTCAAAATTTCTCTATATATCAAGGTATAAGACCTCCTTTTCCCCTGAAAAATTTGATAATTCTTCTCCTAACAGATAAAATAAATAGTGGCAGCAAGTGCAGCTCTTACCTTCCTCTTACTCTCTCTTCTTCCCTTGCAAGCTCGCTTAATCCATCTCCATTCATGAGTCCAAGCACAAGGGTTTCGGTGAATGCCAAAAAAACCTGGCACCTCACTTCAAATACTTCGTGGTAAGTCACAATAAAAAAGGAGATGCTCACAGGTTTCATCGTTTGTTTCACAAAAACATCGAATATCTGTTGTGATTTAAGCATATGACAATTTAAGCAATTTAGCAAGGAAATTACAATCCTTTGTGAACTTTTTATAAACCTGGAAAGGCAATGAAATTGCAACATGTTTGCAAGATAAATTCCTACGATGCCCAAAAAGAAAAAAAAGAAAAAAAAGAAAAACCTAAATAAGTTATAATTATATGGAGAAATTTTGAAAAAAAAAAATCAATTATCAATCCAATGAGTATTCTTAAAATATAAAGCCTGCTCAGAAAAAAAACAAAAACAAAAGAATCAATGTAATTAAATAACCTCTTTCAGTCAACAAAAGCATGGACAAAGAAAAAGGAAAATTAATTAGCTCAAAGTCTCAGGGCACAAGAAAGGCAAATGGTAACATTGACATGAACTTTGAGAAAAATAACTCAAATTGCTGAAATTCTTCAAAGGTAGACATCAACTAAGGCCAGATTTCATATTCCCAGTTTCATGCCTCTTTGAAAGCACTCTCATTCACTGAGTTGGAACTCTAAAAGCCAAAGAATTCAAGAAATCAAATTCTCAATGCCAAACTTCAGCAGTCTATTTTCCATTCCTTGTAGAAAAAGAAAATTGATTGATAATAATTTGAAACAAATCTCATAACAAATAAAGTGGTAGAAAAAGTTGGAGAAAAAAATCATATAAACAAACATGAAATGCCCTTAAGGGATTGGTAGTGCTTTATTTGAATTTTTTTTATTGGATAAAATATAAATCTTATTATCCAATATAACTGTCTGTATAATAAAGCAACTAATAAGCTACTACAAAGTAAAAGAAACTATCAAAAAGAATGAAACCGTACAGGCAATACAAAGGTTAATGTTTCACAACTGTTTCAAGATCCATTTGCTTGCAATAGCAATGGGTAGAAGAGAAGAGCTTGGCTGAGCAAAACCCAAAATCCTGCTCCTTACCTCAAATTGAATGTCTTGAACAATCATGCTCTCTACTCTAAAATGTTGTTGGTGAAACCTTCTTTTTCTTTCCAACCATGTGTGGTAGACTATTGCATTCCAAGCTAATTTAACTAGCAAATTGTGTGAAGACTTCCTTTTGAGTTTTTTACCCATCCATTGTAATAACACTTGCCAAGAGTCAACAAATGGGATACCAAGCATGGAGCTAAGCTGTTGCCTTATTCGTCTTGTGTAGCTACACTTAAAAAAGAGGTGCTCATTTGTTTTTGGATTTTGGATTGCCATTGCAAAGGATGCAAGTATTAGAAATTGTGGGGGACCATTGCTTCTACCTTGCCTTTTTGCTTAGTCGATTAAGCACCGCTAGCCAACTAATGAAGCTATGCTTAGGAATAGCTTGGGAAAACCAGACCAATCAATGCCATATTTTCTTGTCTTGTCTCCTTCGTAACCAATGCCAAGTCTGTCCAATCTTAAAGCTACCAGATGTAGAAGGCACCCAAACTATAGTACTCTTTTCTCCTTCTTGAGGATAGATATCAAAGAGATGCATTTGTATTTGTACCAATTGGGGAGACCTAGCAGGAGGCCATTGCCAAAAACTCCCATTGATTACACTAGCCAACTTTGCCTGGTAAGGAAGTCCTGCATCTCGAACAATGGAACTTCCATAGACCTTTATCAATGGACTAGATGGGTGTCAAAAATCGTTCCAGACATATATATCCTTGCCATCTCTTAGGACATGTTGGATAAGCCGCCTATCTAGTTGCCATAGATTTAAAATTTTCCTCCACCCCCAAGATGCATCAGCTAGTAGATTAATAGTCCAGAAACTTCTGCCTTTAAGCAAGTACTCATGAACCCATGCTACCCAAGTAGACCCTACTTTTGAAAACAATAGCCAAATGAATTTGAGAATACATGCTTGGTTCCATTGCACTAGCTTCTTAAGGCCTAGCCCACCCTCCTACTTTGGGGAACAGATTGTATTCCAATTTACTTTAGCCCTTATAGCTATGAAAACAGAATTGTTCCATAGGAAAGCACTCTTCTCCACTTCCTTTATGACTACCTTGTGTAAAATAAAAATAAAGCACTAGAAGTTGGTAATGCCTTGTATAACAAAGCTGATCAATTGCAAGCTCTTAGCAAAAGAAAGGTACTTTGCTACCCAAGAAGTCATTCTTTCTGTTATCTTAGAAACCAAGGGCTTTAAGTCCTTTTGAGTCAATTTTCCTATGATCAAAGGCACACCAAGGTACCTTATTGGTAAGGAACCAGCCTTGAAACCAAAATTTTCAGTTAATTGCTTGATTTGTTCAAGAGATAGCCCACAGCAAAAAAGTTTAGATTTGGCATAATATACTCTCAAGCCTGAAACTTTATAAAACTCCTTCAACACAGCATCAATAGCATCAAAGGAAGTTGATTGACCATTAGTAAAAATTATTAGGTCATCAACAAAACACAAGTGTATTTAGGACTAAGGCACTTTTTTAAATCCCATGATACTGAGTCAAAAGCTTTCATCAAATCTATTTTTAAAGTGCATTTAGGACTAAGGCACTGTTTATGATAGTGCTTGACGATTTCCTAAGCTAAAAGGAATTCTCAACCATAAGTCTCCCTTCCACGAATGCACATTGGTGTCTATTAATGAAGAAAGGTAGACATTTCTTGAACCTGTTAGCTAGGATTTTAGTAATGAACTTATACAATAGATTGTAACAGGCAATAAGTCTATACTTAGTCATTCTTACTAGATTTTGAACCTTTGGAACCAGAGAAATAATGGTTGAATTCATTTCTCTCAAAAGTTTATCAGAAGAAAAGAATTTCTGAATTGCCTTAATCACCAAATCACCAAATCACTTACAACTGGCCAAGCAGCTTTTTAAAATTTAGACGTGTACCCATCTGGACTAGTCGCCTTACTTCTCGGGCTTGAAAAAACTACATCCTTAATTTCTTCAACTGTGACTAGTTGCATGAGAGAATCTACTATAGTAGCAGGTAACTGATATTGGAATAAATCTATAATCCATTCCCCACTAATTTTGGCACAATTTGGGTCAGTTGTACCTAGGAGACCTTAGTAAAATTGAACAGCCTCATTTTCCTTGTCTAATACTCTTGTAAGTTTCCTATCATCACTTGTGTATAGCTCTTTGATTGTATTTTTTCCCTTTCAAATTGTGACCACTTTATGAAAATAAGTGGTATTACCATTTCCTTCTTACAACCATTTAATTCTAGATAGAATGATTCCTTAGCTTGTTGTAAAGCTGCCACCTTTTGAGCTTGGTTATGTTCAGCTTGAATTAGTGCAGCATTTGGACACGCTAAGAGGTCAACTTGTATCATATGTAGCTTGTGTAGCTCTTGTTGT